CACCAATGAAATAAAAAAGAAGTTGGTTTGGGAATTTTGAGAAAACTTCTGCATCTGTTCTTCAGTTTACCCCCATCTTAGAAGAGAAGGACTATATATTCAGTGCCCACAAGACTGGTGCTAGAAAAAAGGCTGTGCCAGAAATGTGTTTCTTCTCAAGGGTTGAAAACCGCTGAGCCACCGTTTCCATTTTCATCAAGAGGTGAGGCACAGACAGAGCTGGCGGCCGTTAAAGGCACGTGGTTCTGAATGAAAACCTACCACTTCCATCGCAAGGCAGGAGATTTCCTGGTGAAAAAGTGAGGGGAGCAGTGGCAGCTGCTTTTCCAGTCCCCATCCATAGTTCTTCTGTAGCAGAGGCCCACACCCCAAGGTTAGCCTGGCTCAGGACATGTGCCACATGGACCACCCAGAGGAGAGCCAGAGTCACAGCGCATGTGGTCTGGGACATTTTAGAGCTCTTGGCCCCAGCAGAAGGAAACCCAAACACAATGACAGAGTCTGAGTCTAGCATTGACAGTGTATCTGTGGGCTTTGGGAGCCCTAGGAAAGCAGCACACAAAAAGAAAGAGTAATAATATTAGGAAAAAAAAAATACCCGGCTAGCAATCTGTAAGGAACTGCTGCATTCCTCAAAGGCTGGCTTTGCCTCCTTTGTCTAATTCTAGTGCTTATAATACTTAATGGAGCAGGGTAGGTTTACAGTGGCTAGTTTGCAGATACACACTAGAGTCAGTAACTGAACAAGAACCAAAAGTAAATTTCAGTTTGTTTGTTGTTTTTTTTTTCAACTTTCTTTCAGAACAACCTCGAAGGGGGCAGCTCCCATGTTGCCAGTGCTACAACATACTCCTCTACCTGCATTCCTGCTAAAAATGAAATAGGAAAGGTTTCTGAACAAAAAACAGAGTCTGTGATTTTTAACTTCCTGTCCCTCCCATCAAAGCAGTGATTATGGTGAAAAGAACAATCTGGAGTTGTTTTCTCAGGACTCATCATGAGATAGTTGTAGCTGGTAGGTTGGCTACCTCACTGATAAACACCTGCACATTTTCCACTCTTACAGTCCTCCTTGGCACCAGGGCTCAGGGGAGAATGCAGAATAAAACAGATTTTTAACTGAAAACAAAAGATAAACATATACACACAAACAAACAAAACAAAACAAAAAACCCAAACCAATTACACCCCCCCAACCAACCAAACAAACAAAACCCCCCAAACTCTACTAAGCAAAAAGATTTCAGAGAAAATCCATCTGAATTGGATTCCACAATTCTTCCCCAACACCAAAAAAGTGTACAAGTTTCCAGGCTGGAGCAGAAAGGTTATATATAGCACTGCAATTTAATTCACATGACAATTAAAAAATACATGAAATGGTCTTCCTTATGCATGAGAAAAGATTATCAGAGTTTTCCCCTTTTCCTCTTTTAGCTTATTAAAAATGTAACTCCTTCAAGAGTAATAAATTAACTCGGAAGGGATTACTTAAGTGAGACACAGGTTGTGATTAAAGGAAGTTTGGAGTTCAGGAGAAGTCTGTGTTTGAAAAACGTCCTCAGTGTTTGGAGTATTGCATATGGCTTTTGACAACTAATTTGGGAGAAAAGTGGTAGGGAATGAACCTCAACAGAAAAAGCTCTTGTTTTTTGTCACTTTGTGACATTACTGAAACACTTTCCCCTCATTTGTATTCTCCCTCCCAGCTCCCCCCAATAAGTTTGTTTTAAAACGTATCAAAACAGAAAAGACTTTGAAAAAGGCAGCAAACCTGTCATAAAGGATGACGCTAGCTAGTCGGGAGGTTACACTTTATTATGTAAATCCATGTTTGGGGGTATTTTAAAATGCATATCATGTGGTTAGAAGCAGCTAATTAGTTTGATAAACTGTACTGGTTCCAAATAAAGCTCACCAATCCATTACATAAATGCCAGGAGCGCAACTTCTTGCAGCTTTGCAACCTACCTGATTGACCATAACTGTCCCTCTCCTGTACCAGTCAGTCTCACTTGTTGGAGCGCTGGTCCTTGCCAAATTCCACTGCTCAAATCCATCTCATCCTGCTGCTCCCGGGAAAATGTTCCTGCAGCACTTTCCCATGGGTAATTCCCTAGCGCTGAGCACCCCAAGCTGGAATTCAGATTGGAGCGGAAGGAAATAAAACTTCAGTCTGCGCATAAATCCTTCACTTACGTATAAAGCCAGTGAAACGGTACAGTTTTCCCTTCCTCTTCTGTAATTTACAAATGGCTAAAATGATTTTCCTGGCAGAAACATCTATTTCTTAACTGCTTAGTGCCCACACTGGCAGCACCCGGCTGCAGCAACGGCTCCGTAAGTGCCATCGCTCGCTCCAAGAGGAGCTGGATGAAGAACTTGCGACGCATAAATTTTTTGGTGAATATAGGCCCCTTTTTGTGCTTCCAAGAACTCTGGGGAAGGCAGGTGGGCTAGGTTGTTTTGTTTTGTTTTTTTTAATAGTTTGCTGAAACTCTTTAAGGATCTGCTGTGTGTTTGCATGCAATCTCTGTACATCAGTTGCTTGTTGAGAAAAGGGTTTTAACGTTGGCAATTCAGGTGTGGGGTATGCGTGGCCTGCCCATACAGAGGCCATGCACCTCTTGGGCTCTGGCACAAGCAGAGGGCAAATGTGGGGGAAGCGCTTCCAAGTGGGTGCCGAGACACTTGTGTAACATCTACGGTTCAGCTAGCTCCCATTCGCCTAAATACGCCTGAAATCTGCAGCACCTCACGCGTCTGAAATAAAAAGCTAATAGCATGCGTGGGGGTGGTGGTAGTCATTAGAGACACGCAAACGCTCGTGAAAAATGCCACGCTGACCGGGGCACCGGCCTCCCGCTCCAGCCTGCCGGGCCGGGCCGGGAGGGGCTGGACCCCCCATCTCCCCCAGGCAAAACTTCCCGTGGCACAAACTTTGCCGGCAGTTCCCCGCCCGCCCGCGGGGAGGGTGACAGGGCGCAGCGCGGCGGGGCGCGCCCTGCCCTCCGCCGCCACCGCCCCCTCCCCTCCCTCCCTCCCCTCCTCTCCCCTCCCCTCCCCTCTGCGGCGCTCGGCGGCCCCGCCCCGCCGGCAGCCCCGCACCGGGCGGCCGCGGCCGCAGCGCCCCCGCCGCGGGAGGGGGGCGGAGGGGGCGGCCCCCCGCGCTGCGCCGCGGCCCGTGCGCGCCGCTCGGCGGCGGCGGCGGTGGCAGAGGGTGTCCGCATCCCTGCGTCCTCCCGCCGCGCTCCCTCACCTCGGCGGCGGTCGCCTCCCGCCCCCGCCCTCCCCTCCCCCGCACCGCCACACGCACACGCACTCCCGGCGCTGTGTGCGAGGGCGGGCGCCGGGAGACGGGCGGCGAGCAGCGCGCCGGCAGAGGAGACCACCGCGCACACGCACACACACACACAGACACACACACACATACACGCAC